ATTTTTTTGACTTCGTCCTGCGGCCGCTTCTCCTTTTTTGCCTTTCTATGCTCCCGTGATGCTTCGCGTCGCTTCTCGATCGCCTCCCGGATTTCCTTGTTCCACCAACTTTTTGGCTTCCTTTTTCCTTTCCAGCAAACGGTTTTCTTCTCTTTCCCTATCTCCTTCGTCATTAGATGTAACAGCTCCCTATACTCCCAGTCCTTGCCTGGTATTTCGCCTACTTCTTCCTCGACTCTTGCGGCTATATTTATTATTTGTTTGTCATTTAAATACCAGCTGCCAGACTTTGATTCCATGCTCATATTTTTAGTTTCGTATCCCATTTGTAATGTTATTCGTTTATGATCACTACCCAAGCTGTTAATGCCTTCCTCGTCTATCCTCATTTCTGTCAGTTTGTGGTAAATTCTAAATTCCTTCAGTCATGAGACAATAATCAATACTTGATTGCTTGTTTCCGACTTCCCATGTGATCTGGCCGTCACATTTAGGCCCCGTGTTAACTATCTCCAGACTATGTTGCTCGCAAAGATCTAGTAATAACTTCCCATTGGTGTCTGAATATCCGTCAAGGTCATGTATGTGGGCATTCATGTCCCCTAGAAGGATGATTTCGGCCCCATTACCAAATTCCTTAATATCCGCACTCATGCAATTCACTATCTCCTGATTCTTTTCTCTGCAGTTATTCCCCGTCCACAAGTAGGCTACCCCTAGCCACGTTTTCTTTCCACCTACTGTGCCCAGAACCCAGAGGTGCTCTGAACACGTCTGTTTCACTCTAACCCATTTGGCTCCGCGGTGAATTAGCATTCCTACACCCCCACCTTTCCTTTCCGATATGGTCCTGTTACACCCTTCCCAAACATAATTTTTAATATGTGGTGGCTCTTCCAAGTCTCTAAGGTGTGTTTCTGTAACCGCATACACGCCTATCTGTTCTTTGTTTAACTGCTCCTCAATCTCTAACCATTTTGCCTTCTTTCTGCCACCCTGCATGTTTATGTAACTAAGTGCAACACGCGCCTTTTTCCTTTTTCTTTTACCTTTTTTCTGGTTTTTCGCAATTCTACCTGTCAAAGCGTCCTCCTGGTTGTTTTCCCTGTTACGAGCTACCCCGGACTCCGAAGGGCCCGTGAGCCCCCCAAAAAAGCTACTGCGCGTCCTGCCAGTCGCCAGCCCACCTCGTGTCCAAGCCTCTTATCGAAATGAATCTTGTCTCTTTGGAATCCACCCCACCTGTGCACTTCCCTGTTTAAATCCACTACCTCGAAACCCTTCTCTCGACTAATTCGCCATATCTCTTTGTTTGCGTCGACTACCGCTCTTTGCAGGTTGACGTTGCGTACTGGTACTTCCGGTACTGTGCATACTACAATTTGCACCTGGGGGGACACGGTGCGCATGTCATCCACCCCTTTCGCCAAGGTCGTCGCTAGTCCTGACGATTCTTTTTTCAGGACGTCATTTAACCCTCCCGCAATTACAACGAGGTTACGATTGTTAGCTTTAGCTGCGAGTTGTTCACCCGCTTGACTCATTACTGTCCCCAGCGTTTGTCCTGGGAACGTCCCTATCGCAACTCTCTTGTCGCCTTTCACCCTTTCTTTGATTGCCGCTGCGCATCGGACTAAATTTGAGTCACCGGCGATGATGACCTGTTCAGACATTCCTTCTGAAACCTGCACCTGGCTGCCGACTAGGTGACTAGCGTGAGTCACGGCTGCTGGTTTGCTCCCTCCCTCCCTCAAAACTACTTCCCGGTAGCTGGGCCCTGTGGCCAATGTATCTGCCTTTGTCATGCCTGTTTCCCTCATCTCTCCCGCACGGGGGGTCGTCGCCATAATGCTTCCGCCGTCACCTGCGTCTTCGTTCCCCTTCACGACCTTCGATAGGCCTTTCTCGGCTGCCCGGAGCCTTTCCTCCATGGCTGACGTTTTCTCTCGCTCCTTCGCCAATGCATTCTCCAGCTCTGCGATTTTCTCCATGAGCCCACTCTGGACCGCCATCATATTTTTCATTTTCTCCTCGAACTCGCACTGTCTACACTTGGCGTCATCTTCTGCTTTCTCTTCCGCACTAATTTCCACCTTCCTCCCTATCCCGCACTCTGAACACTTTACGGTCTTTTTGACCATGGCTAGCTCAGTTTACCGATGCCCACGTGTTAGAAAACTGTACTAAAATACACTGGTCTAAGCCAAAAAGAACCACAATAATAAATAAATACGCTACACTTCACAGCACCTGCGCATGCACGTGGTCGGTCTACGCGCAGGCCTCAGCCACGTGGTGGCTGGAGAAAAAAAAGACACAGTACAGAATACTAAAAAAAAAAAAACGTACACCGTACTAGACCTAATCAAGCTTTACGCTAGCGCCTTACGTTCTCATAACGCTACATACAGAGGCAAGCTGGAAACATGCAAAAACACTTATCTGTAGCTGTCATTCCGGAGCTCTCCAAAAACACGTCCGACCTCGACGAAGGCGCCTCACTTCTTTAGCCAGCAGTGACCTCTAGTGGCACGTGGTGTGGTCATCGCTAGAGAGACCCTCTTTCCAATGCTGCACAGCACACTTCCCCTTCTAGTACACTTTACTTCTAGTACACTGTACCACACAGCCTCCTAGATTTTCTTTGCCTGCTGGATTATCGGTGGTTGGGAAACGGCCGTCATCAGAACAGCAGTGGTGGCGCTACTTCAGTAGGGTTGTATTCAAAGAAGTTTTTACGTTTTTGGAGCTTATGTGCAACAAAAATAACGTATGAAAGCTTTAAAAACGCGTAAACGTAATTATAATTACCCCACGTAAGTGACGCCGCCATATACGACCAGCGTTTTGCGCTCATTCAGCAAACAACCCCTTTGTTACAAGGCATAGCCTCTAAAACCAGCAAACCCCAAAGTAGCTAATTTCAAAGGCCAAGTACAAAGGCGCTGCCATAGGATGAATGGATGGATTAATATGGCTGTATCCTTTAGATCATACTGTATGCTTTAGATTGGGCGGCGGCTCACGCCACCTAGCCGTAATAGTTAGTGAACCAAAAACTAGATTTATCTTTTTTTTTTCCTCTATATAGTGAAGTAGAGGGCTGGTACTTTGCAGTGAAGGGTTTAATTTTCACTCGTGCCTTGACTTTAGACACGAATCGGATAACCTCCTTTTAGTTAATTCTACCCGCTTAGTCTATTTTGCCCTCCCTGACCCTGAACCCCGGTGCTTTGAAAAACTCTGCGCCATCATCCTGAACTATAGTGTGAAGCCATTTACAGAACATTATCAAGTGTTCAGCAGTTTTCTTCTCCTCTCCACATGCACTGCATACCGTGTCTACCCCTTCGTATTTGGCCCGATATGTTTTGGTTCGCAATACTCTCGTCCTGGCCTCAAACAGTAGAGAACTACCCCGAGTATTATCATAGATCCTTTCCTTGGCGATTTCCTGCTTAAAAGTTTGATAGATCTCTGTGCGGACTTCTAAATCATGCCAATTCTCCACATATCGGTCTCCGTTTTCTTCCCCTCCTTTTTAGCCGATAGTTTTTTTTTTTGTTTGTTTGTTTGGCCCCCTGCTCTTTTCCAAGTATTTACCCGTCAATTTTCTGGTTCGCTTCCTCTATTTTGTATCGACATTCTTCATGTACAAGTAGCTGAAAACCTTCCTAGCCCAACGCTCTTCCTCCATTTCACTTATATTCGCTTCTCAAATTTTATCTTGCTGCTAACTTCCCTGCCCTCGAAGGATGTCCATCCCATATCACCTTGTACTCCCTAATTTAGTGTATTCCTGTGAACTCCGAAAGCAAGCCTACCTATTTATTCCTCGTTGCTTAATTTGAACATCTGATCCCATGCACTAGATCACATTCCCGAACGTCAGACCAGGAACCATAACCCCTTTCTATATTCCTTTCACAACATCATACCTATTGTAATTCTGCAGTGTCCCATTTTTCATCACTGCTGCAGGTCTGTTACCTTTCGTCGTTACGTATATTCCGTGTTCCCTTAGGTACACGGTCTGATTGCTTATCCGTACGCCCGAATATTTGTATTTACCTGTTACCTCTAGCGTGACCTCCTGTATTCTAAGCTCACTACCTTCATTATCATTAAAAATCATGAGTGCTGATTTTTTTCCGACTGAATCTGAAATCCAACCTATCTCCCTCATTACCGCAGATGTCCATTAATCTCTGCAAATCTTCCCTGTTGTCGGCCAGTAGTACTATATCATCTGCGTATATCAATGTTGGTAGTGCCTGTTCAATGAGTTTTCCTTCTTTGGCGAAAGGGAGGTTGAAGCCAAGTACACTTCCTTTTAATTTGGCCTCTAATCCTTGTAGGTACATTATGAATAACAAGGGTGTTTTTTACCTTTGTGGGCTTGGAAACCTGTTTTTCCCCCTTTATAACTACCTTGTGACTTTTATAGATATTCCTTAAAGGATTAGTGACTCCATCTTCCGCACCTAGTGTGACCAATATTCCCCACAAGTCCTCTTGAACCACGCTATCGTACGCTCCTTTGATATCCTAAAGTGCTAGCCACAGGGACCTGTGTTCCTTTTCTGCTATTTCGATGCACTGCGTAAGCAAGAACAGATTGTCTTCCAACATCCTGTGTTTCCGAAACCCATTCTGCAGTTCCCCTAGCACTCCCTCATCCTCTATCCATGCCTGCAGTCTTTTCTTTATAATCAAAAAGACCAAAGCACAGATGACGGGCGTTTCGCGCTCATCTGGCAGACGAGAAAAATATCGGAGGTTATGGCTGTGCTTATGGCTGTTATGGAGGTACACGAATGCAGCGCTAGACTCCTCTCTACGTAGTTCTACAAAGTTCTAATATAAAGAGATCAGAAACAGTTTTCTTTTACAAGTGTGTCTCATTTTTTGGGTTTTGATTGTGATAGTTTAGAATTTTTTGTTAAATTGTTTGTTACAAAGAGCAGGACGACAACGATCATCAACATCAGAAATCCATCATGGATTCCTTCACATGTGCTGTAGCCAGGGCGACTGCTCGCGTTCTCGTTCATTGGCATCGTTATTCAAACAGCGGGTGGCGTCATTATAGCAGTAAGGTATGTCTTGCTCCTTCACAACCGCTCTATGTGTTTAATGACACTGCCCAGCGTATTGGTGGGTGAGACTAGGCAGCCTCCGGGGGCAGGCTAGCAGACGCTCGTGCGTGAGGGCATTTCTTTTCGGACTAGCCTTGGAGGGTTCATATTGTTGCGCAAATTATATTGTTATTACAAGAGAGGACAGCCGCCGACTGGCTACTCACCCTAAATAAGAGGTTTCTCTGTGCGTTTACAAGTCACAAAGACCATAGCATATCTGCGTTTTGGCACTTTCAAATTTGAGCATTGCTTGAAAGGTTCTGGTTAATCTTTAACTTAGCGCTGCTTGTGGGGGTATTTTGGTGTGCATATATTGCGGTATATTCCAACTGTTCATCCGATGTACTCAAGTGAGCCGGGTGCTAGTGCTTAGCTCTGCTGCGCTAGCGTGCGGACCGAGTGTCTGACTTAGCAGCTTCTGCCAGCATTATGGTGCATTGTGTCATCCAATCGAACGGTCTCCTGTTCTTATTCGTGGGGAGTGCTGGAAGCCTCCTCGACTTGTCATGGCAAAAGGGGGCCCCTAAGGGAGCACATGCTATTCTATTCCTCTCTTTTAGAGTTACATTTTGAACTGTGGAGGAAGCAAGTGTTATTTATTTTAATAAAACTTGTTGGGCTAGTTGGTAACTCGTCATAATAAGAATAATTTAGCGCAACTTGGCAATCTCACGAACCACTTAAAAAAAACTGAGCACCCACTACCAACTGTTTATTGTGCGTAAACGAGCATCTTATACGCCTACAGGATGATGTGCAGAAGCAATGAACAACAAAGATGCGTGTGTGCAGAGATTCAACTAGCGGTTCCAACCAGCAGATTCAACCAGCCACCGCCAACAACGTAGCAAAGAAAAAAAAGAACAGATAAACCAGCTGTAACATCCTGCCTCAAGGAAAGATATTTCCTTTTGATACAAAACCAAAAACCACGGATAGCTCAACAACACAATGATCGTTATAGATATTTATAAAGTACGCTTCCAACAATAGGCGTGCTGGTGATTTCACTTTTTTTCCGAGAACCTGTGTGTCTGCGTGCTATGGTTCACACCACAGATGGCAGCATGGGCCACAAACTGCAGAACTATGGATCCACTTTGAAGGTGCAGGACACCGAGACATTAGTTGTTTACACTATGCACGTACTCGACGAAGTCAATGCTAAGAAAATATTCATGTTAAATGAGTCTAACTTCATTACAACTTGGCATAGACTATGCGATTAAACATTTGTGTCAAAGTATTACAAATGAAATTAGGACGTTTTCAGTTACTCTCATTGTTGTGATTTACCGGGCAAGTTATGTCTGTCTCTGCAAATAATGTAGCTCAATAGGCAGAATTCCACTTTGGGATGCAGGAGACTTTAAATGAATTTGTCTTTCATACACAATCACTTATAATAGTGAGGAAAAAAGTAACGCTGCAAACCACAGGGTGGTTTCTGAAATTCTGAGAAGTCGGTATACTCGGATCTCGTGTACAGGTTTCTTCTCAACAGTCGTATGCATTACGTTGTCGGATACCCTGATTTACTCAAACAGCTTGCTTCATCTACAATCAGGTCATAAACGACAATGTTCACTTCACGTAGGAGCACTGCTGACAGCAATCGTTTGCAAAAGAAACTCCAGAAGGTAGAAATGAACTGTTTCGAGGGCGCCCGCCGCTTCATGCCCCTCGTGATAATGAAAGGCCCTTTGCCTCATCGAAGCAACGATTGGTCTCGCACGTCGAGGATTGGTCTCGCACAGATTTATGCTGTTCTGGGGTAATCAACCATAGAAAAAATTTATTCATCAGATGGCTACCTAAAGTGGCACTTTTAAGCGTGACAGCGCAGTTGCTAGAATGTCGTAAAGTGCTACTGATTTCAGATAGCGTCTGCACTATCTGAAATCAGTAGGAGTTTATGCAACTTAAACTTGTTTTTCTAGTGAAGCGGAGCACCCAAATCATTTCAAAATCAATCTGAAATCAGTAGGAGTTTATGCAACTTAAACTTGTTTTTCTAGTGAAGCGGAGCACTCAAATCATTTCCAAAATCATGAAGCTAAATAACGTGATGAAATATGAGCAACTACACACAAGAGAATTTAAGGCAACAGCTGCAGCACTATTCTCGGATGAGCGCATTCGAAATGTTTCGTGACACTTGATTTTAAATTAAGCACACGCACACAGGAGAAAAAAAATGCTGCCAGCAGTTACTTTCATGCGTCCGATACAGATAACAATTGTGGAGGCGAAACAATCACATCTTTTCAAAGAGATCGTCCGAGAACAACGGAACCTGAAATGCAAGTATGCTGTTGTATATGTTTCAAAAGCACGACATGATTGCAAGGCACGCTGCAGAGTAATTGTGGTCATCTCGTATTTTTTAACCTGCTGTACATGCATTGTCTTGCCGTTCACCCCCATCAGAGTTTCGCTACCGTGGCCGAGAATCGAACCCGTCTTCGAGGTAAGCAGCTCGACATCATAACAAGCCTCATCAAATGCGCTGTAGCACAGCTACTGCACAATTTTACCGGAAAAGCTGTTTAGTTTTTAATTGTTTTACAAAAGACATCATCGATGCTGCTTTCGTCATATATTTTAAGCGGGAGACAAGCAAAAAGTTAATGCTGGCAGCGCAACGACGTTCGAAGCAAGTGTTATGTATAGGCACACCACAGCAAGATTCAGAGAGTCCGTGCCATTACATCATGCAAGCCTCCCACCAGGTGGCACCACTCCAACTTCTCAGGGATACTAGGGTGCTCCGCTGCTGACCTGAATGCCGCAGATTCGATTGTGGCCGCGGCACTCACATCTAGATGAAGGCAAGAAAGCAGATGCCTGTGTACTGTGCGTTGTCAGTGCACGTCAAAGAACACCAGATGGTCAAAATTTGCGAAGATCTCCACCACGGCATCCCTCATATTCATATTGTGGATTTTTCATGTAAAACCACACATACTACCACTGCTACTACACCACTACTATATATTACTACTACTACTACTACTACTACTACTACTACTACTACTACTACTACTACTACTACTACTACTACACTAGACTCTCAGTAAACAGAAATCTGTTAAACAGAACTGCTGCTTAAACGGAACTATTGCCTCTGCGATGCTTGGTTTCGGGCTTGCATTCTACATTCATGTTCACCTCTCAGTAAACAGGACTCCTGTTAAATGAAACATATTTTCCCGGTCCTTCAGGTTCCGTTAACTGAGAGTCTACTCTGCTGACCCGCAGGTCGCGGGTTCAATTCCCGGCTGCGGCGGCTGCATTTCCGATGGAGGCGGAAATGTTGTAGGCCCGTGTACTCAGATTTGGGTGCACGTTAAAGAACCACAGGTGGTCAAAATTTCCAAAGCCCTCCACTACAGCGTCTCTCATAATCAAATGGTGGTTTTGGGACGTTAAACCCCACAAATCAATCAAAACTGAGAGTCTACTGTACTACTACTACTACTACTACTACTACTACTACTACTACTACTACTACTACTACTACTACTATCCCATTTTGCTTGCGTTCATCTTCTCGTCGTTCCTGCATCGTGCCTTTGCCAACCCTGACAACGCTTAGCTTGTGTTTGGTGCGTCGTCTCTGACCTCAGTTTCGGCGGAGTGACGTGGTGTATCGTGGTCACAATACATGATCCTTGCCAGGCTCTAATAAAGTACACGCACTGACTTATTCATCCCACAGAAACTGGTAATACACAAGAGAGAGCGCCTAAACAACACAGCATCTATGTCGTATGTGCACAAGTATGCTGGGGCACGTCATGCGCACGTGACCTTGCTTACATAGGTTCTTCTTGGTGCATATGCGTCATGTGATTCTCCAGCCACGATACCTAAGAGAATAGGGAAGGAATGAGGCTCGCGATGGCTACATGGGACGAGAGGCAAGGGATTCAAGCTTGCTTCTTCGCATCATGCTTTGGTGGCTCGTAGCTAACCAATTTGAAAAATCACCATGGTAGAACTCTTTTCATTGGGCACGCCAGAACTTCTAATGTCTAACTACTACTTCTTATGTCGCTGTAGTGACTGCGACGAGCGAGCCGTAGGAGCGAAACCCTGAGCACAGAATGGAAACGAAAAGGAAGAAGAGAAGAAAGAAGACTGGTGCAGCAAACGTACGCAGCCGGCTTCGATGGTTGTTGGGGCTTTCGACCCCGTGTCCTGGGCGCTCGCTTCCGTCGAGCGTGACCTGGACGCCAGCAAGATGTTAGGGTGCGGGGCATCGACGTAATCTTGAGCCAGCGAGCTTCACGAAAAGGTGTGTTGCCACCGTGGACGCTACCGCGACGGACTCAACGCCACGTTGCCCGGTGCTACGGTCCCCGCAACGACGGTGCGCGTGAGTGTCGTCCTGAAAACTTGGTGGCACGGAAGTCAAATGCATTGAGTTTTAAGATGTAGACTTGCGTTTGGTGTGGACAGGAACTTGCCAGTAGACTTTCTTTAACCTCGTATCGTCCTGATGTTCTTTGCGAGATTTCTTCGTGCGTGCTCTTGTCCTCGTCCAATATAAAGAACGTCTTTGTGTTATCAGGTTGTCTTGAGTGCGTCCGATGATCTGGGCCCATTGAGTAAAACCCCCTTACTCACCACAATTGGCGAGCTTTGCCAGGATCGGCACTACCATTTTCCCGCCGAAAATTCATCACACTCAAGGTGCCTGTTAACTTGGAAAGGCTACTATGTATTGGAGAGGAGGTCGGTTGGTCTTGCTCCGATTTAGAGCGAATATTGCGAGAAGACCTCGAAGAGGAACGTGAGAGGATTCATTTTGAACTGCAGTACATATGCAAAGATGATAATGACTATGAGCATGTAATACGGGAAGGAGAGAAGCTACTGTCGGAAATACGCACAGCTATCTCAGACATACGAAAGATTGCAAGACGCAAAGCAGCACGTAATGGGGCTAATGA